CCAATTAAATTTGGCAATAGCTGATGTGGCTTGGTTCCTTTCTGTTTAACGCGGTCCAACTTTAGGGTCCCTAGTATAAGTAGATTGCTGTTTGTTAGTCTATTACATACCTACCTCCTTTGTACATTGGAACCATGAACTTCCAATAATAAGATCTCCTCAATTTTTCTTTGTCTCCTCTTTCTGTCAATTTTAATAATAATCAGTCCCACTTCTTTTATTAAATTTATCGGTCATAAATATCAAGTTGTTATAGAGTCTATTTCTTACTGATTTTTCCAAATTGTTGATGCTAAAAGTGAAAGCATCAACAATTTGGAACAATTGGTAAGAAAAAGGTCCTGTAACAACTTAATAATCAGCCCGCAGAGTGTAATCCACTCCAGATTTCACTACTGTAATTTTAACAGTGTATTTAACAAGCGAAACCTGATGTGACTTGCTGATTTCTCCTCAACTAGGGTTTTACTGAATTTTGAGCTCAAGTTGTGGGTAAGCGCTTATCGCTGGCAAAATTAAATGGTGAAGTTCAGCCATCAGCACAATAACATCCTTCTCTGGTGTGTTCTTTGATCCACTGGACGTAGTGGTTGACCCTTGTGTAGACGCCAGGGTACCCGGGCCGTCCACAGCCGTAACCGAAGGAGACGACTCCGATCAACTCGTACCTTTTGTCGTCCCTCACGCGGATTAAAGGCCCGCCACTGTCACCCTGAGAACAGCCGAAGACACAGTTGTAAATAAAAGATTTTCGACTTAAAAAGTTGCATACTTATAGAACAAAAAATTGTTTTAAAAATCTGTCAGCAATTTTACTTTAATGTAAGCTAAATGAAAGGTTGCGGCGGTTATATGCCACAAAATTGAAGCCGCAGTCCAAGACACGACACAGTCGTAAATAACAGATTTTCGACTTTAAAAAAATGAATTTAAAAAAAAATTAAAAAACCTTTCAACAATGGGTCAGTTGCGCTGGCCGCAAAATTGTGTTTTGATGTTTAATTCTTGTAGATCATCTAAAAATAATAAAATCCGTCCAAACAGCAACCTTCTACGTTCAATATTAACTTGACCTATCGTCCCTTGAAAGTCGGGGTTTTGACGTCATCCACCGCGGTAATGA